AATGAGGCCAGAACAATTAGTACTGCTTAATAACGTTCATTCGAATGGTCACACACTAGGGTTTCATCCACAGACCCGACGGTTTACAGAACCACCTTGTACAGCATAATGAACAGTGGAAGTACTGCCCAATACCTTTCATTTCAATTAGAACCACCTTTTACAGCATATTACACAGTTTCACTCAAAAGGATTGTTCCGTAGCTTCTATTTGAATGGTCACACACTGAGGTTTTCGTCCACGGACTTGAAAGTTAGAACCACTTTATGTTGCTTAATCCCTCCTGAATAATAAAAAGTAAATGGTGTATGTTACACTTGTACACTGTTCAATAGCTTTCATTTAAATGGTCACTCACTAGGGTTTCACAAGAGACATGGTTTCACTCTGGGCATGGTAGCAGAAAAGATTTTCACGATATAATGTTGACTTTCGAAACTAATATGGTAAAATGTCGCCTTTCGCAATCATAGGACTATTATGGTTTTACTGCGCCTCTTTTGCGCGCCTCCACAGACACTTCCATCAACAGAGTGACGTGCGAAGCATCTGTATTGTACGGGCTAATAATAGAAGCTAATGGTTCTGTCGAATGTCAAAAAGTAACTCCAAATACCACGTCATCGTCTTAATATTTACACACCCTTTTTTAGCCCGTTACACGAAGCGTGCTAACGCTCAGTGTAATGAAATTTTTTATTTGTTATTCTTCTTTTTCTGCATGGCCAAACTAAGTTGTAGTTGTCCGATCTGATGACTTGCGAATTTCTGTCAAGGGAGGATTTTCTATATTTGTCCTATACACATGCTCACCCAAATCTCACTGATGTGTTTCATTCTCTTGAAAGCGAAGGCGCCCGGATGTGGAGATTCCAGCTGCACCCACTGTTCAAAACCTTTACTTACCGTGAATTATCTACAAAACTTTTTTTTTTTTGAAGTGAAGATCTGTGTAAAATAATCATCTAATCCCACGTTACTATTTCAATGGGGCACAAAACGTTGTAGCAAACCGCTCCGAATTGTAAATAAATTTAAGGTGAAGCAATAGGAAATTGCGAAAGAATATTTTTATAGGAGTTAAAATAAAAATAAGGCTCCATGAGTCAACAGTTTATGACGCAATTGATGCGTTTAGAGACTAAAAGAAACAAACGAAAATGACAATTTTTGGCGTTGAATGAAATAAAACAACAAGAAATGTTGATCAATTCGTGACAGTTTGACGTGTGAGGCAAAGTTCTTTCAAAGTTCTTTCAGGCAAAGTTTACTTTCAGTTCGTTTAGTCGCAAGCTAAACTTGAAATAACAATTCTCTTTTCTGACTGGTTATAACCTTGCATTATAATGCACGTATCATCAGTGTCTTGACAGACAATGGAATATGCTCCTGTAGTCCATTCGTGCTGTAGTGCTTGCTGTTAGAGATCATAGCAACGACAACTCGTTTTCTCGGAGAGGCATGGGACGAGTCGTAGTTGTGCGCACGCGCTCAATTTCTCAAATCTTGCCGTTTCTCTGTGTTAAGGTAAATTACGTATTAACTCGTATTGTTCAGCACGGATCATATTTCTCTCATCTTGAGATCTTCATTTTCCATGTCGGTCTGTTTTCTTGAATTGTATATCATTTTAGAGAACCTATGAATTCATTTTGGTACTACAACAACGATATATACTCCAGGTCTGGTTTTTTTTTTTCTTCTTCTTCTTCTTCTTTGATATAAAATTCTAGATTGCCTTGATGTCCTTCTTGGATGAGACCTAACTAACGAAAATTTAGACCATGCCTCTCCCCTACCATTTCAGTTTAAAGGTAAAGGCTGCATAAGAGCCAAGTGGCCCATTAGGCCCGAGCTTATCCCGATTTCTGTAGCATGAAGCGACTAGGAGTATTTCTACTACCCCCTGGATGGGATGCTAGTCCATCACAGGATTACCCCCAGTATTAAGTTCTCCGGTACCCATTTATCCACCTGGGTGGAGAGAGGCACTGTGATAATTCAGCGGTTTGCCCAAGAACACAACGCAATGTCCCCGCCCAGAGCTCGAGCGCACTAACCGTGAGGCCACCCCGCCTCCCCATATTAGTGCATGATGTTAAAATGGCGCAATTTAGGAAACTTTTCCAAGGAAAAGCTATTTTTAGATGTGAAAGTTTGAAAAGATTGAGCTGAATTGGGTGAAGAATACTGAATGTCACAACTAAGGTGGGCGTGGCCGGGTCAACTCCCACATTGTTGTCCATTGTGGTAACATCCCTCGACAAAATCTAGATTCAGTCTAGACTGAATTTTCCGGATTACTCCACCCACCCTCTTTCAGTGTTGTGTAGGCCAACGTGAAATTCCGGCCACATCAACATCTGATAAATCTTGATCACACTAGACCATAGAGAAGACACACCCTTGTCTAATTTGATTACATTTCAAATCTGACCCCTTCCTTTCAATATCCGGCGGAGCGAATGAGCTTAGAAAATTAAGCCATCGTTTTATTGGGGTGTGTCGAAGCACACAATCTTTAAACCGCATTTGACAGTCTCAGCCTTCAACAATAATTACTTTTTATCACCAAAACTTAAAGGGGTAATGTCACGGTTTGCGAATCTTGAAAAGGTGGCCTAAATTTTTCAAGTTCGTCGTTTGTAATCCGTGTGTTTGTAATCGTCTCCATCCTTAACCATTCTTGGTCCTTTATGGTTTATTATTATCTCTTTGGTTTTTTTCTATATGGGTAAACTTTTTTCTTTCAGGTTTCTGAGTCAATTCAAAGGTAATTTTGTACTTGGCAAAAATAACTCAAAATACCTTTAATGCTAATAGTGTTGGAATGGAAGCAAACATAGAATGAAACTTTACTCAAGGGTCAGGACAATTTTTCAGCATGCTCTACCAGCTGAAATCGAGGACAATGGAATAAAATATCTCGTCTTGTTGATGAGTTTGTTTATTCTTATTAACTGCCCACATATTAATCATTTGACATTGTTGGGAGAAACTAGATGTTACGGCTTTCTTTTGGGAACTGACAAGAAAACACCGCCATATTATCGAACGTTTACGAGATTAAGAACATTTTCTTAAGTTTAATCGTAGATAACAACGTCTCTAACAAACATTCGAGAGTCCCAAACACTTTGACATGATCAGTACGTGTTTTAGTTTAAGCAACAATATTAAGATCAATGGTTTAAATTCACTCTCTTTCAATAAGTCAAGCTTGTATTGTAAAAGCAATTTTTTGAGTTGGAGAAAACACTTTAACTGATGATTCACAGACCGATTACGCCGTGTTCATTTGCTGTTTAAATCTGAAACGGTTTGTTTCAAATCAGCGGATAACACGCCTTAAACCAACTTTTATTTGCATCATAACAGCATTAAAGCGCTATAAGTATACGGAAGCCGTCTGCGAATGTAAGTTGTTGCAGTAATTTAAGATGAGATTGTGCGGGATTTAAAAAAAAAAACACTGCTTCTTATAAACTTCTTACAAACTTGATGTTTCGACGCCATGAACTGGCGGGATGTCTTGTAACTTTATCAGGTAAACTCTTACCTTAGACAAAAATAATGGAAAAAATAGCTCTGTTTGTGAACTTCAATGGATGACGTTGCGTGTTCAATGTAATTTTAATGTAAAATTCTTGGGCGTGACGGCCATAAGATTACAGTAGATAAAACCACTCATTCGCTAATCCCGGCATAAAGAAGCTACCATTCTTAATTTTACAAGAATCTTACTAAAATAAGCTCTCACTTGAAGAGTGTAATATCAAAGCTCGCTAGAACAGCTCTAAATATCTTCGTTACGTCAGAGGCGACAATCTGCCTTGATTTTGACTTATGTTTCACTGTTTCTTTCTCATGGCATTAAAACGAAAAAGCTGAACTGAAATCCCAGACCTTGTTTCCGGATGTTTACAACCCCCATTATGTGCCGATCGAGGGCGTTGTTTTTCCTCTTTTGGCGGGCGGAAAAAATGTCCACTTTTTTTCAGTTTCAACTTCAGTCGGTGGCGAACCGCAAGCGCGCCCACACATCAGTAAGTCTGTGATAACAGTCTCATTTTAACACCTGTTCAGCTGTAACCTTGATTTCAATAGGAAGTAAAATAATGATACTTTTATCGAGGAATCTGCTCTCTAGCTAACTATTGCCGATAGCCAGTGCATGATACTCAAAACATCTCCTCCCAGACTTAATTTTGTTTACAATTTCCTTTTTGGACAGCAAAATCTAATGTTAGGTCTATCAGGTTTACGAAAAGAATATTTCAAATATCTGAAGATCTAAACGAACTCATGTTTGATATGGGACATAAATGAAAGTGAAGACCATTCTGTGATTTTACTTTGAGATGGTGTCAAAATTATAGGCAGGTTTTCAATGTCATTTATTTGGCAAAATGTATCAGCGAAGTAAACCGAAAAAATAGAAAGTTTTGTTCTTTTCTGTTCAATATATCCCCAGCAGCAGTGGGGCGCTGTGTTACTGCTTCTTCGCTTAATAGTCGTTTCTTTATGTTTTGCACGCGTCCTTTCTTTCCTACTGTCTGACATCTGCATGTTTGTCAAGTTGCGGCTTCGTGTCGTCAAGGCTGTACAGAAACAGGAAGAAAGCAAGCACTTCTATCGGCAACCAGAAAAACTCTTCCCTCACAAGCACCGTACAAGGTTCTAAGAAACTAACAGTTCAAGCATGGAGAATTTCGTTTATAACGTTACTACAAAACTTGAAATGACAAGACGCAGCAATCTCGTTGGTTGTAGAGGTGGAAGTTCTCCCACCCTCTCCCCTCCCAAGAAGCTAACCAGTAGGGTAATCTCGTTACTAGGGTCTCTCGGGGTGGGTAGAAGAGACACCCTGGGAACAAGGTTGACCATTCGGTGGTCGCTGCACCAGTCTCCCGTAGTGTGTCTGCAGTGACTGACACAAATCCCGTCACTCTCGTATTTTACACATGAAGGTCGAAATAACAACATGAACTATCAAAACTAGGTTACATTTCTGACTTTATTTTTGGCGATCATTTACATGAACAGATGTCTAAGGCTAATATCTATTTACTCTACTTCTTACACTAATAAATAGAATGGAACCAACTAATGAATCTAATGAATAAATATGTGAGATCCTCCGTCGAACATCAACAAATGATTCTTATCCTATGCTAAACCTTTAGACAACTAAATAACTTAGAAAACAAAAATATGTTAATTGTTCATTGTTTTTTTCCTTCCTTTCGCCAAGAATAACTAGATAACTAAAATGTGGACTAGAGGTATTTTTTGGTGCATTTCAATTTTTTCCTATTGGATTCTTGTTATTTGTAAGAATCCTAGATGTGTTTATTGAATTCAGTAACTTTGACCGTACTCAAAGGCACACAACACGCACACATACGAGCTCGACACATTTAGTCACTTAAAAAGACATACCCTCCAGTTAGTGACCATAAAACACACACACACACACACACACACACACACACACACACACACACACATTTCTCAAAGTTCATTTACAACATAAATGTTTAGGTCTTTCGATGATTCACAGCCTGAGCCCGCCGTCTAGAGAACACTATCGGAACAACGGCTGCCGCCAATAATGTCAGGCCTAGAAGTGGTCGATGAGCAATCCAGCCAATTGCTATGGTAACCAGCGTCAATGACGTGGCAAGGCAGAGGGTTAACAGAGTCAGGCCCAGGCCTACAAGTTCACGGACAACTGGCAACCAGGAGACTAAGAAAAAACGAGAGAGAGTGAGAGCTTGCCTTGTGAAATCGTTCTGAGACGAAATCCGATAGAAAATCGAACAATTTCAGTTTCAAGTGGACAAAAACCTTGTACCAGAAAAAGATAAATAAGTATATCATAGTCCTTTTTGGAGTTTCAAAAGCTAAAGATATAAACGGTTTCCTGAAGTAACACCAAAAACAATTTCCCATGAGAGCGCGAGAAAATAAATTTCAAAGTTAAGAGAAATTATGCAAAGACAGGTAAAATTTCATTTCACCAGTACTTTCGAGTGTCTCATTTGAAGTTAAAAATTTGTTTTAGACATTTGATGTTGTTAGAAATGATCTCTTTTGAGAACATATCATAAACAGTCGTACAGAAGTTTCCAATACGATGTAAATAATCTTGGTTCAAAGTTTTTGTTCACTTGTTATTTGAACTTAAGGTGGATTTCCTCATTAAAACGTTGGGTGACAGTTCAGACTGGCTTGGGTAAGCAGTGCTTAGTATAAAGATGATGGGAGTACATTTTCTCTTTGTCACTTTTTTTACAGGGGGGGTGGGTGGAGGACGGATTAACAATGAAAGTCTAAGTTACTCACTCAGCGCGCAAAGAATGCTGGTCGTCATCTGAAATCCAAGAAACATCAAAATCCATCCCACCCCTCTCAAAACCCATGTCAAGGCTGTGTTGGTGGACTGCTCGGCATCAAAAATTTCCTACAGTAATAAAACACAATTAAAATTTCAATTAATAATTAAAACAGGACTGCAGGAAAACTTACCTTCTAGCGCCACGTGGACGCTTTGCTAAACACAGGCATGAAAATATACGACTATTATTTTACCCCAAATTAAAGTTATTACCTTAAAATATAAGAACACTTCTCATCTA